ATGGAAGCAAGACTATTTCATAAATACACTTGAGGCATTTCCTGGAGGAAAAAACAAAAAGAAAACCAAGATGGAAAGTGATTGGAGAACACTTGAGGTCCTAAAATGAGTAGGCAAGGGTGATCCAGAGAAAGGCATTTAGATATGTTATTTTCACATTAGCATGATAAGAGGAAACATAAGTTATATGTTTTTATTATTTTATTTTTTATTGAATTTATTGGGGTGACATCGGTTCAGAAAACCATATAGGTTTTAAGTGTACAACTCAATAGAACACCATCTTCAGACTGCATCTTGTGCCCTTTTTTATCTTTTCTATGTTGAATATGTACACAAACTCTGTGTTACAATTGCCTATAGTCTTCAGTACAATAACTAGCTGTACAGGTTTGTTGCCCAGGAACAATGGGCTATACCATCTAAGCTAGTAGAAGTGCACTCTATGATGTTTACAGAAGATGAAGTTGCCTAATGATTAATTTCTCAGAACATATCCCCATTTTGCATGTGACTGTATACCTTGGGCTCCAGTAAAAACATAATTTCCTTCTTTGAACTTTTGCTCCTTTTAATATTAGTGGTAACCCTGTTTGGGTCCATGAAAGTGGATATAGTTTTTAATAATTATATTGTCGCTTCTCACTCCTTTTTACATTTTTAAATGTAAAGTTTTAAATAATTTGACTTGTTTTAAAACCCCTGAAGTTAAGCAACTGACTCTTTCTAGTAAGACAAAGGAAGTAATGCTTGTCTGGTGAAAGTAAGGATGCAGGAGATTTAATATGAGTGCTCGAACCTGGATATCAAATGATTCAGAATATTTTCAGACATTTACATTGTGTGTACATTTATATTGAGGGTTGGAATTGCGTGTGCACATGGGGAGAAGGATGGGGATTTAAGGAAGTAAGTATTGAAGAGGTTATGTTTTATGCCCCAAACATTTCACCATCAATAATATGTTTATATCAGAAATTGAAAGGCCTCATCTGCCATTCCTGCCAAAGTTGAAGGAAAACTCACTTAGCAGAAGAAAATAGGCAAATCTAACATAGTCACTAAGAAGTAACTATACATTTTTGAATACTTGAGTAGAATTCCAACACAATAAAGTCAACTGTGTGCAAGAGACTGTTTCGGTCTCAGTTTTATTGTCCTTTATTCTTGCCTCTTTTGGAGAACCAAACCCCCCTTTTCTCCCCTCGAGGCCATTGTGTGAGACTTTGATGATAATTTAATAAGAGTTTTCCAATAGCAACTCTGTTTTAGTCAGACAGAGTTCTAATCTCTGGAGATATAGCAGAAAACAAAACAAAACCCACTCTTGTGATGCTTTGCATTCTAGTGAACATAGGTGAAAAATAGCAAACAAATAATTAAATTAGATGATGACAAGTGTTGGAAAGACAACAAAGCAGGATAAGGGAGAGAATGCCTATTTTAGGTGATATGTTATATCAAGATCTCTCCGATAGGTGACTTTTGTTCAGAGAAGTGAAAGAAGTGATAGCCAAATACCTAGGTAAGAAGTCTAGGCAAAGAGAACAAATGCCTTGAGGTAGGCAATCCTGAAACAGAAGAAGGCCATTAAGGGTGTAGTGAAAAGAGCAAGTGAAAGTAATGGATCAGGTGAGACTAGATTGTGGTGTGGATTAAAATGGTAGAAATGGAGAGATGCCTAGTGCTTGAATATTGTGTAGATACAGATTCTAGTTGAAGATTCATACTGGCCACTCCATTATTGGTGGTTGGACAATGAGGAAGTAGAAAATAAGACTAAGGACAAGTATTCATTGAGAGAGGAAGAGAAAAAAAAAGCTGACATATTTAATACTGAATAAAGAGAACACATAGAGGCAGTGGTTAAATGTATTTAATTTCAATTAAAGTTAGCAGAAATACAAAAAAAGATGTTTTGATAATAATAAAGTAGAGATGATAAAAAATACCACCTTATTTTCAGATCTTTAAAATCTTAAGCATTTTTCTGCTTAATGGATTTTACATACAGCGGTAGTATCTTAGCATTTTTTTTTTCTGAATGCAACTCCAATTATGATATCTTAAATTTTCTCAATTGAATTTTCTTCAGAGTGTTGTTGCTATGAAAGCACTGAACTACAGAGCAATTAAAAATATATAGCAACCAAAATAAAAGTTGAGTCTATCAAGACTGAAATAGTAAAAACAAACGACCCCAAAAAAACATTGGATTTGACAACATACAGGCAATCGGTGGCTTCGAAAGGAATATATTCATGCTGTAAGAAGAACAAAGCATATTTAGAGGAAGTTTAAAAACAGTGGGGAAAGACGAAGTTAAATAATGAATATATTCCACTCTTTGCATGTGTGTTATGTGTGTGTATGCATGTGTGTGTATGCATGTGTGTGTGTGTGTGTGTGTGTGTGTGTGTGTGTTTCTGTAAATGGGAGCAGGGAAATAGAGCACTAGTTGGAGTGAATTGTGAAGTCAAAAGAGGTTCTTTGTTGAAGGGGGAGACATTACATAATATCTATGTTTTGATTGTGAGCATTGCAGAAGAGAGGAAAAGGAATCACCAAAGAGAGAGGGAAACCAGTGGCAAAATATATGCCCAAGACTATGTGTAAGGGGATAAAACCCAGAACATTAAGCAGAAGAGTTGATCTTAGACACATGATCACTTCACTTTAACAGGAAGAAGACAAGTATGTAGTTGAGCATGTAGGTAGCTTGGTAGATTGGACGATTTGAGTAGAGGTGGGGGGCAGTAATCTAAAAATTCTCATCTGTTTTATATTTTCAGTGAAATAAGAAACAATAAAATAAAGTGAGACTGAGAAGGTAAGAAATGTAAGAAGCTTAAGGAGATAAAGATATAACTTTAACCAGAATTGAGTTATTTCCAGATATTAGGAAAGAAGGGAAATGAGTAAAGGAGTTTCTCACCAGTAAATTCAAATTCCCAGGAATCCCTCTTCATAAACTGTATTTCACCCAAATACATTTTTTCTTACTTTTCAAATATATTTCATAACTGAGGTCTTTGAAATTTTTATTTTTATATTAGAACTTTTTTCAGTCTTTTTAAAATTTAGCTTTATTGTTGAAAATATTACAGATGCCCCTCCCCCCATTGACACCCTCCACCCCATACCTGCCACCTCCCCAGGCTTTCACTTCACTATTGTCTATGTCCATGAGCTATGCATATATGCGTATAAATTCTTTGGTTAATTTCTTCCCTTCTTCCTCTTCCCCCTGAAAAATGTCTGTTGTATGCTTCAATGTCTTTGGATCTATTTTGTTTGTAGAACTATATAACTTTTAATAATTTTTTTAAATTTAATTTAAACTCCAGGAAGCCTTTTTTGTACACACCTTAAACTTGCTACTATCATAGTACTTATTACATTGCATATAATCCTTTCCTTTCTGCCAACAGACTGTGTATTCCTCACATAATGCTGATATATCTACAATAGCTGTGGGTAAACTATTGCATATTATAAAATGACACAGATCCATTGTTATATGCTGGTGATTATGTTTTGTTTTATTTTCTCCCTCCAACTAAAGTTTAATTCAATGAATATTTAATTCAGTGAATGACAACACATTTGCATAGTAAATTTGTACTTAAAATTGTATGTTGTATTTTGAATTAGAAATAATTACAAGTACTTTTATTTAATTTTCCTGTTAACATCTGCACAACGGATAGTGCAAGTTCAAAAATACAAGTCTCCACTGTCTTATGTATAGATTTTAGGAAAAAAACAAAACAAAATGAAACAAAATCTAGAAGGTGACAAAGGAATAATAATGATAATAAAATTCCCAAATCTTAAAAGTTTATTTTGAATTTAATTATTTCTGAAGAGATTAAAATTAAGCACAATTCATCTTGCAGAGGTTTTTTTTATGGTGTTTCATAATTAACTCAGATATGCTATTCAAACTTTGACTTCCATACAAATAGAAAGGTATAATTTAGATGGATAGAAACAGGCTTTGCAATAAAACAATGTGACAATAGAGACTTTTTTATCTTATTCCATTCAATGACAGGAAAATGGAAAATTCTGTCACTTTTGATGGAGAACAGAATATAATGAAATTTAGTCTTACTTGAGTCCTTTGTTTCAATTTAATTTTCAGTTAACCAAGGCTCATTGTTTAGTTTAAAAGCTAATAAATTTGGTTTTCTTATCTGCACAAAGGGATGCATTTAAAGTACCACACCTGATTTTTAAATATACTTTTGGTTTTATATGACCTACAATATAGGTTTTATTAAATTACAACTGATTCTCTTTTACAGAGGAGACATGTATTTCTGATCTCCTTTTTCCTGTCTCAAGGAGATTTTTATTTGTTTTGTCTTGTTTTGTACTGTGGATTATGCCTGTGTGCTGTGTACTAGAACACTTTCTTTGAGAATTCCTATTTCTAACATGTATGATTAATAAAAAATGTATATACAACAACATTTTTTGAACTATGTTTATTATGGATACTATTCCTAGGTGTATGAGTGTATGTATGTATATACTATTTAGCATGATGAATTATGCAAATATCTCAGTTTTTATTGAAGGATCTTGCATTTTTTCATTAGAATCAGATCATTGGGTCCAAATGAAAAAAAATTTACATTTATCATTCAGCAAATATTCACTGTGCATTTACTGTGTTTCAAGAATTACTCTAAAGGAAATAAAGCAATAAATAAGACAGACAAGATTTCTACCTTGATAAAACTTTCAAGAGTTGGTCGAGATAGACTATACATAAAAATCAGAGCCCTGGTCGGTTTGGCTCAGTGGATAGAGCATCGGCCTGCAAACTGAAGGGTCCCAGGTTCGATTCCGGTCAAGGGCATGTACCTTGGTTGCGGGCACATCCCCAGTAGGGGGTGTGCAGGAGGCAGCTGGTGGATGTTTCTAACTCTCTGTCCCTCTCTCTTCCTCTCTGTAAAATATCAATAAAATACATTTTTTTAAAAAATCAGAGAGTGATGGCTCGCCTCCTGGGTTTTGGCGGGACCAGCGACAGCAGCGGGAGGGGTCGCGGGCCACCGCGGGCGGGGACATCTCCCTGCACAACTTCAGCGCGAGGCTGTGGGAGCAGCTGGTGCACTTCCACGTCATGCGGCTGACAGACTCGCTCTTCCTGTGGGTGGGGTCACGCCGCACCTGCACAACCTGGCCGTGGCCATGTGCAGCCGCTACGACTCCATCCCTGTGTCCACCTCTCTCCTCGGAGACACTTCGGACACGACCTCCACTCCTGCCCAGCAGCGCTTATCCAGGAAGACCAACAAGCAGGTGTTTGTCAGCTATAACCTACAAAATACAGACAATAACTTCGCATTACTTGTAGAAAACAGGATCAAGGGAGAAATGGAGGCTTTTCCGGAAAAGTTCTAGCTGAGGCAGAAGTGAGGATTTCTAACTTATGTACAATATACATTTAAATACATGAGTTGAATTCCACTGTTAAAAAAAAAAATCAGAGAGTGACAGATATTTTGAAGAAAATAAAACAGAATAATGTGATCTGAATTGATTAGCGTTGGTGACCTAAATGAGGGCTGCTGGGGAAGGTCTCTCTGTTGATTTGACCTGTTGAGAGAATGACAAACATTGTCCAGAGGAAAAGGTTCTATGCAGAGGACAAAAAAGGAGCAAAGACACAGAAACAAGAGTAAGTTTAGAGTTACAGAAACAGATAAATTCAGTATATCTGGATTATAGCAAGCTATTTTAATAGTGGTCAGAAGTGAGATCAAAGAGGTGGTACCAAGAAAAATGTTGAAGAGCCTAGAGCCCATAGAAAAGGGGGTACTCCATGGAATACAATGGAAACTCAAAGAAGTGTGCAACATAACCTTAATTTGTTTTTACAAAGATCACGCAGACCCTCAGGTGGAGAGTGGATTACATGGGCAGCTAATGGAAGCAGGAAGGCCACTTCCAATACTCTGATAGAGGGAGATGGGGACTTGAATGTACCCAGAATCATAGAGATAAAATTAAAACTTGATCTAACATTTGTCTTTCTCTATCTCCACATAACTTTGTTTTTCTCATTTTCAAACTGCATAAATGGGTCTTGTTTACTTTTAACTTTGATTTGAATGTGCAAAAGCCCTTTTGGGGCAGGTATCATACAATCCTCCAACATGGATATGGAATATACTAGAGGCCCAGTGCACAAAATTTGTGCATGGGGGGGGTCCCCTTCAGCCCAGCCTGCACCCTCTTCAATCCAGGACCCCTTGGAGGATGCCCAAATGCCGGAAGTCGGACATCCCTCTCACAATTCAGGACCACTGTCTCCTAACTGCTCACATGCCTGCCTGCCTGATCACCCCTAACTGCCTCTGCCTGCTGATCGCCCCTAACTGCTCCCCCTGCTGGCCTGTTCTCCCCTAACTGCCCCCACCCTGCCTGGCCACCCCTTACTGCCCCCCAGCCAGCCTGGTCACCCCACACAGCCTGCTGCTCAGTCATTTGGTCATCCCTCACTAACCCCCTGCCGGCCTTGTCACCCCACTCAGCCTGTTTGGCTGTCCGTTTGGTTGTTTCGGATGTGATGGCCCCGGCTCTTTATATATATAGATGATATTGGCACATATAACTTGAGTTAATAATGCCTAGTGTCTCAATGTATTTTGTACTTTCAAATTGATTCCGTAGGTGTTTTTTTAAAATTAATTTGTACTAGAGAACCATTAACCATAAACTATTCTGATGGTTGTCCTTTAAAGTTTGTTCTGTAAGTAATGGCATAGCTACTACTTATAACAGTGAAAGAACACAGTGTGGTATCTATCACCCACTATTTCTTTTCACTGTGAGGTTAGAACTATTTTATTAATCGCCAAAGAGGTATTTATTTACTTGACTTACCATATGGTACCACTATGACTTTACAACTGTGCAGTCATTTTGCCCCATATGTGCGAATCGATCAATAAACTGCAGTGGTCCCCAGGCAGGGGAGGAGGAGTGGGGGTGGGAAGCTTGAATAGGACTAGTAACAGTGGTTCTTGGGAATAAGCTATTAGGTTTCAAACACACTTTTAGAAAGAACTGACAAGTGCATGTTTCTGTCCCCAATTGATCAGTTAATTTAGATCACTTATGCCAAAAAGCAGAAAGGCAAGTTATCAGGAAATCTCAACTAAATTAAAAAGATATCCTCCAGCCACAAACTCTCTCATCCTTCAGCACACAAAGCTAATGTTCCAGGAGTTTAGCTATTGAGCTGGTAAAGGAGATGTCACACCCTGAAGTCCTTGGGGAACCATGTAAAACTGAATCAACAGAACACACTGTCTCATTCTTATTTTTAAAGGCACAGTCCATGAAAGGAATTTTTACTGCAACTTATAAAACAGTAATCTCACTAATAAGCAATGAGTGTCTTTCTTTACCTTTCTTTTTAATAACTATTTAAAATTTTATGTAAGTACCTGTAATATAAATTAATATTAAATATCAATTAGGTTGTGAAAGTAAAAATCATATTCAAGTGTCTTCTATGTCCATTTGTTTACCTTGGGTTCTGGCATAATAATGTAACAGTTATTTATTTTTATACTATCAGAGCATGGTTGTATTTCACTGATTCTATTTTATTCAAACACATATAACCTCTGTAACCAAAAAATGTAATAATAAAATAAGTACTTTATAATTAAATTAGGATGTTAGGGTTTGTTTGTTTTTTCATTGATAGTGTGTTGAAGTGCTATTTAGTTAGAGGAAAATCTATACTTGCTTTAAAAAGGAGAGTTTAGCCCTAGCTGGTTTGGCTCAGATGATAGAGCATCGGCTTGCGGACTGAAGGGTCCTGGGTTCGATTCCAGTCAAGGGCATATGCCTGGGTTGCGGGCTGGATCCCCCAGTAGGAGCTATGCAGGAGGCAGTGGATCAATGATTCTCTCTCATCATTGATGTTTCTCTCTCTCTCCCTTCCTCTCTAAAATCAATTTAAAAAAATATTTTTAAAAAAGGATAGTTTAGTGGATATGCAAATTATTCTTTCTTTTATTTTCTCACCTACACTATCCATAAAGAAATAAGAATTCTGGGCCTACAAGCTTTGCATTTAGGAAGACAATTCGTCTCTTTCTTTGATAAAAATGGTGGGAGATAACATCAGATTTTTTTGCTAATTTTAAGATGGCCAAAGCTCTGGAAAGATACAGGACAATTATTAATTCCTAAATTTTGACATCACAGTTCAAAATTTCAGGGACTAAACATGGATCTGGGTATAGTTTCTGAAAGGATTCTACTTATTAACAAAGAAAATGGCTGATATCACATCAACTGGATTCACTTTTGAACAGGTACAAAAATAGGGTAAAGTTAAGTAGGAAGAGAAGAATCACTTGTCTGGGTTGACTCTTCTGTAGGTAGCATAAGATCAGCAAAAGAAACTAGTAGGAGGAATTGGAAAAACTTTGAAGAAGCAAGCAATTAAAGACAAGAAGAACACATTGAAAATGAAAAAAGAACTACAGGCCTTTTTCCCCCAAAAGACAGATGGAAGCAAAGAGGCACATTGCCCTCTGTTACTCCCAATCTTTGCCCATTCTGAGTTAGCTCTCTGTTCTCTATGTTCTAGTAGAACTATACTAGAACTTTGTTGGCATACTTATCACTTTGTGGCATAGTTGTTGGCTTACCCCGCTTTCCAATCAAATTAGGAACAGACTGAAAGCAACATGAAGTCTGCTATTTCTTTATCCCCAGTGCCCATTACAAGATCTGGAATATATTAATTGTTCCTCAACTATCTGTCAAATGAATGAGTTAGCTTTAACAGTACATTACCCCAACAAGAACAAAATAATGAAGTGAACATCTAAAACCAAAATGAGTATCACTCTAGAGTAAAATCTAAGGTAAAATGGAAATATACATAATTGATATAATTCCAATAAAAAGCAAAGACATTTGACACTATTTGGCCAATAGGTAAATTATGCTTTAAAGATAAGTGATAGTTGTGCATGAGGTATTTTGCAATATTGAAGATAGTTTATTAATGGTTCTAAGTAACTTTATTGATTCCTAGTGGGCTAGAACTCAAGAAATTCATAAAGACTGTGTCTGGGGTGTTCCTGAACCTGGACTAAAGCTGCGCTTCTGGGTGAATGTCAGACGGGCTAGAACTCAAGAAATTCATAAAGACTGTGTCTGGACTAAAGCTGCGCTTCTGGGTGAATGTCAGATGATGCCAGCCTCAGGAAAGAAAGCTGCCAACAAGGGAAATAAGAGGCTGACATCTCACATCACAGCTCTTTATAGTCAACTGATTTATTTCTCACAGTTCTGTTTAATACAGTTCTGCACATTGTTGTCAGGGAGTTGCTGAGCATTGCACCTGCAAGTCAGTTTATGCCCCAAAGTAAATCCAGACATTTGAAAGGGATTTATATCGAAGGTAAAGATTAATATCACAACTTGATTAGGATATATGTATTGAATAAAAACAGAGACACCTATATTGCACCTATTGTCTACTATACTTATCTTGAGTGTATTTATCTTTGTATAAAATTGTCGCTTCAAATAGAATATTCTGAAATTGATAGGATAAGGGGATCAATGGGCTAGGTAGATAATGTGGGGAGCACAAGGGTTTCAAGGCAAAGAAAAGTGAAAGTTGAGCCAAAGTTTTTAGGCTTTGTCTTTGAAAGAATCACAGTCATGACCTGTATAATTATTAAGAGGTAAGCTGGAAGGCAGAGGAGTGAAAGTATTTTGAACTGCTTTCTGAAGCACAGAAATGATATTCCAAAACTCTTACCCAAGAGGATGTGTTTGTTGTTGTTTATAGAATAATAAGATCTTTCTCACATTCATCTTTGGAGACGGTGAAATAGAGAGCTGAGAACTTGTGGGAATTGTGGAACTGTAAAGAAGAAAAGTCACCACATTTGTGCCCAGCGAGATTCCTTATTCTCATGCAGCTCTTTTTTGCTAATGCCTGGCCTCACTTTTTAATCTCTGTCCACAGGGAGATGGAAAATACAGGTCATTTTTTATTACAATAAGTTGAGCAATAAAGATTGATTTCCTTACGATTATTTAAATTAGTTAAACATGGGGTTGGGAAACATTTCATGTGTCTTAAAACTGATGCTAAACATATTAAGAATGTTGAAAGTCGCTGAAATTATTGCAATTTAGAAATAAATATAAGAATCATTTGACAAATAACTGTCAAAAGTTGTGATGTTCTTGGCCTGGTGATGTAGCTCAGTTGGTTAAGTATCATCCCATGCACCAAAAGATAGTACGTTTGATTCCCAGTAAGGGCACCTACCCAGGTTGTGGCCTCACTCCCTGGTCAGGGTGTGCAAGACACAGACACAACCCTTGCTTCTCTCTTTCTCTTCACTTTCTCTCTCCCTCTCCCTTCCTCTTTCTGTCTCTAAAACAATCAGTAATAATAATATATATACTAGAGGCCC